GCCGCCGACCTCCAGAGGGGCCTCGAGAGCCAGATCGCCGCGGCGCGGGACGAGGCGCTGCAGGCGCGGGGCGAGGCGGAGCAGAGCTCGGAGACGCGGGCTCAGGACCTCGCCGCCGCCGTCGCCGTCGCCGTCCTCGCCGATCGGGGGCCGAGGATCGAGCATCGAGGGGGAGGCGGAGGAGGAGGAGGAGGAGGAGGAGGAGGAGGAGGAAGTAGGAGGAGGACGAGGAGGAGGAGGACGAGGAGGAGGAGGTGGAGGAGGAGGAGGATGACGAGACCAGGAGGGAGGAGAGGAGGAGGAGGAGGAGGAGGAGGAGGGGAGGAGGAGGAGGAGGATGGAGGGAGGGAGGGAGGGAGGGGAGGGAGGGGAGGGAGGGAGAGGGAGGGAGGGGAGGGAGGGAGGGAGGAGGGAGGAGGGAAGATGCTGACGATGAGGATGAAGATGAGGATGCGGATGGTGATAGTGGTCAGGATGATGACAACGACGAATGCCATGCTGATGATGATGCTGCTGATGCTGATGATGGTGAAGATGAGGAGGAGGAGGAGGAGGAGGAGGAGGAGGAGGAGGAGGAGGAGGAGGATGCTGCTGATGATGCTGAGAATGAGGACGAGGATGGGACTGCGGATGCGGATTAGGATGGTGATGGGGATGGGGATGAGGATGAGGATGGGGATGTTGCTGATGATGATGCTGATGCTGCTGATGCTGATGGGGATGATGGTGGTGATGATGAAGCTGATGATGATGGTGATGGTAATTTTGATGATGGTGATGATGATGATGATGATTATGATGATGATGACGATGACGATGACGATGCTGCTGATGATGATGCTGATGCGGATGATGCTGCTGACGCTGATGATGATTATAATTATGATGGCGATGCTAGTGGTGATGGTGATGATGCTGAAGATGATGGTGCTGGTGATGCGTACGACGATGGCGGCGACGACGACGACCACGACGACGATGGTGACAATGATGGTGAGGATGATGATGATGTTCTTGATGATGATACTGGTGGTCGTGATGATGATGATGTTGTTGATGCTGATGCTGATGCTGCTCAGAATGGTTATGTTGATGCTGGATATGATGGAGATTGTGATGATGTGTTGTGAGATGGGTGGTGGTAATGATGATGAGGAGGAGGAGAAGGAGGAGGACGAGGACGATAACGAGGTGGAGGAAGGAGGGCAGCACCCGCAGGGACCTCTTGCTATCAGGAACCATGAAATTGGTGGAGGAGGAGGAGGAGGAGGAGTTGGAGGAGGAGGGGGGAGTGACGATAAGGGTTGACGAGGGAGGAGAGGTCATGGATTCGGGGGAGGAGGAGAAGGAGGATGTGGCGAGTTGGGGAGGAGGAGGAGGAGGAGGAGGAAGGAAAGAGGGCGGAGAGAGGACGGAGGAGAGGTGGAGTTGGAGGCGGAGGAGGAGGGGCAGAAGCGGGGCGAGGCGGAGCGGAGCTCCGCGACGACAACTCATGACATCGCCGCCATCGCAGCGATCCCAGAGCCGCCATGCGCGAGCGCGCGCAACTCCCACAGGCCACCATGGTCCCAGAGCTGCCCATCCCTCCTCCCCCGCACCCCCCGTTCTCTTCCTCCGTTTCATCCCCCTCGTCTTCCCTTCCTCCTCCGCAACTCCTCCTCCTCCTTCTCCCCTCCTCCTCCTCCTCCTCCTCCTCCTCCTCCTCCTCCTCCTCCTCCTCCTCATCCTCCTCCTGATCAGTCTAGGCACCTGGTTGCCCGGGCTCGCTCTGGCTGCGCTGCTGCCTGCTGCCTGGGCCGCTGCCTGGCGCGCCGCTCACGCCACGCTGGCGGACTGGAGGGTATTCGTGGACGCGTGGCGGGAGCGTGCGATGGACGTTCTCCCTGCCACCATCGTTATCTCGGGCCGATGGGGCGCCCCGTTCTGGGAACAGACCGAGTCCATGGTACAGCACCTCTTGGCCATCGACACCGCTGCGGTCAAGGCGCCCAGCGAGCGTCTGCAGCGGCGCCGGCGGCAAGCCCTGCAAGCCGCCAACACCGCAGCTTGCCGCGAGTTGCGCGCGGCGGCGGCCGCAGCGCGCAAGCCCCGCCTGCAGCGCACGCACGCGGCTGCAGCTGCCCAGCAGTTATTCCCCGAGAGTTTCGATGCCACGATCCGTCGACGCCTCCGTGCTTGGTGGCCTGCCCGGGCGGTCCCCCATGACCTCCGCCGGAGGTGGCTGCGTCTCAAAGCCCAGCTGGCCGTCACCGCCCCAGGCACTTGCTGGGCGACCGTCCGCACCCTCGCAGGCGCCTGGCCCACCTCGTACCGCATGCACGTGGGACATCCCCGACTGCCGTGCCGGTGGCAATGCGAGGACGGCACTGACCAGATATCGCACTACTTGGAGTGCCGTGGAGCCTGGTGGTGCGTGTGTGTGGCCTCGCGCGCCATTGTACACGAAAGCACCCTGCATCGTTTCGGGCTGGGCACGCAGGAGGACTACGACACAGACCCGCAGGGCGAAAACGGCTTGCCCCGAACGATCGCTCGGCTGGCCACGTTGTACCACACCTACAACCTGCTCCGACATCGTCCAGGGCCGCTGCAGCCGGGCCCTGAGGTGGCAGAGGCGCTGGCGCGCGCTGCCGCCCACCGCGTCCAGGTCCCACCGATCTGCCGGGAACCGCAGCCCCTTGGGACGGTGACCTACGCGGGCGGCCCGGCAGCACCGGAAGGTCACCGACCCCGGCGCGCGCTGCCTGGCACGCCCAGCGGCGCCCTGTCCACATGGCGCAGGGGCGGGGTCCTACGGACCGTGCCGGCCACACCAGGAAGAAGTACTGACTCCGCCGCTGCCCCGTCGCGCGGCTAACTCTGACCCCTTTCAGGGCTACGGGCGCTCCTCCTCCTCCTCCTCCTCCTCCTCCTCCTCCTTCTCCTTCTCCTTCTCCTTATCCTCCCCCTATTCGTCCTCCCCCCCTCATCACGCTCCTCCTCCTCCTTCTCCTCCTCCTCCTGCTCCTGCTCCTCCTCCTCCTTCTCCTCCTCCTCCTCCTCCTCCTCCTCCTCGTCATCATTATCATCATCATCATCATCATCATCATCATCATCATCATCATCATCATCATCATCATCATCAGCAGCAGCAGCAGCAACAGCAGCAGCAGCAGCAGCAGCATCAGCATCAGCATCAGCATCAGCATCAATATTATCATCATCAACATCATCAGCATCATCATCATCAGCACCATCACAATCATCAGCATCATCATCAGCATCATCATCATCATCATCATCATCATCATCATCATCATCATCATCATCATCATCATCATCATCATCATCATCATCATCATCATCATCATCATCCGCCTCAGCCTCAGCCTCAGCCTCAGCCTCAGCCTTTCCTCATCCTCCTGCTCCTCCTCCTCCTCCTCCTCCTCCTCCTCCTCCTCCTCCTCCTCCTCCTCTTCCTCCTCCTCCTCCTCCCCCCCCGGCTTTCGGGTCATCACTCGGCTCCTCGGCGGCCGTCTGGGACGATCCGGACACCCCCGGAACGCTCTCGGCGAGGCGCAGCTGCCGGGATGCACCGCGGGGCCAGAAGGCCGCCGAGAGCCGACGGCAACGCGACAAATTGTAAGCCTCGACCCCGAAAAATGGGAACCGACGACAACGTCGAAAAGCCGATGAAAACCGACGAGCGAGCTCGAACCTCGACCCCGAAAAACGTTCCCTTCCGCAGCCGTCCCCGAGGAGGCGGCCGCCGCGGCGCAGGCCCTGGCCGAGCGCAGCGAGCTGCAGAGCCAGCTGGAGGAGCTGCAGCGCCAGCGCCGGGACGCCGAGAGCGAGCTGCAGGCGCCCGTCGCCGCCGTCTTGGGGTCGGCTACGGTCGGCCGAGGTCGCAGGGGAGACGCAGAGGTATAACACGGGGAGGAGGAGGAGGAGGAGAGGAGTAGGCAAGGAGGCGGAGGAGGAGGAGGAGGAGGAGGGGAAGAGGAGGAGGAGGAGGAGGAGGAGGAGGAAGATGGAGGAAGGAGGAGGGTAGGAAGGAGGGAGGAGGAGGAGGAAGAGGAAGGAGAAGCAGGAGGAGGAGGAGGAGATGGAGGATGAGGAGGAGCGAAGGAGGAGGAGGAGGAGGAGGAGGAGGAGGAGGGAGCAGGGCAGGAGGAGGAGGAGGAGGAGGAGGAGGAGGAGGAGGAGGAGGAGGAGGAGGAGGGGAGGGGAGGGGGAGGAGGAGGAGGAGGAGGAGGAGGAGGAGGAGGAGAGAGAGGAGGAGGAGGAGGAAGGAGGAGGAGGGGGGGGAGGAGGAGAGGAAGAGGAGGAAGGAGGAGGAGAGAGGCGAGGAGGAGGATCAAGGAGAGGAGAATGGAGGAGGAGGAGAAGGAGGAGGAGGAGGAGGAGGAGGAGGAGGAGGAGGAGGTCGGCTTGGGGAGGGTACCCTGATGTTCTCCGTGTCTGTTGGACGTTGCCTTCGGTGGACGACGTCGCCGCCGCCGCGGTCGCGGTCGTGGTCGTCGTGGTGGTCGCTCGCCGCCGTGGCCGAGGCCGTGGTGGCCTCGTGGTGGTCTTCGCTGTGGTGGCCGTCGTGGTCGTCGCCGTCGTCGTCGTCGCCGTGGCCGCCATCGCGGCCGTGGCCGTGGTGGTCGTGGTGGTCTTCGTCATGGTGATCTTCGTGCATCCTAGGGGAGGGTGCCCTCCAGTGATTTTCAGTTTGGCCGGCTGAGGGTCTCGTGTTCTTCAAGGATGTTCTTCTGTCCAAGGTTCCGGCTGTGAGAGTGGCCTTTCGCTGGGGTGACTTTTGGTGCGGGCCCCTTGGGGTCCCCTGATCGCCGAACTCGATGCGGTAGCAGCGTCTTGCGCGCTTGGGGTCAGACCCCTCCGCGGCCCCCCAAAGGCCGCGCACCAAAGGTCTTTTTACCCAGGGTCACTCTTGCGTGTAGCCGATGGGGAGGGGAGGGGGGGATTTCTAGTCAAGAGGCTTGCGCAATGCCGCCGACCCCCCAACTGCATCAGCGGAGTGAAGGAGCAGACCTTCATCAGCATCAGCAGCATCATCAGCAGCAGCAGCATCAGCATCAGCATCCGCATCAGCATCATCATCGCCATCATAAGTTCCATCATCATCATCATCATCATCATCATCATCATCATCATCATCATCATCATCATCAGCAGCATCACCATCATCATTATCATCATCTTCGTCGTCATCATCAGCATCATCAGCATTATCATCAGCATCAGCATCATCATCACCATCTTCATCGTCGTCATCATCATCGGCATCATCAGCAGCATCATCACCATCACTATCGTCATCGTCATCGTCATCACCATCATGAACACCATCATCATCAGCATCATCGTCATCGTTGCCGTCATCATCATCATCAACACCATCATCATCAGCATCATCGTCATCGTTGCCGTCATCATCATCATCATCATCATCATCATCATCATCATCAACACCATCATCATCAGCATCATAACCATCATCATCATCATCATCAGCATCAGCATCAGCATCAGCATCATCATCAGCATCAGCATCTGCATCATCATCATCATCATCATCATCATCATCATCATCATCATCACCAGCATCGTCATCACCGTCGTCGTCGTCAGCATGAGCACACCATCAGTATCACCATCATCATCGTCAGCAGCATCAACATCAGCATTGATCATCATTGTAAGCATCATCAGCGTTATCATCCTCATCCTCCTCGTCCTCTTCCTGCTCTTTCTCCTCCTCCTTCTCCTGCTCCTCTTCCTTCTCCTCCTCACCATCATCATCATCGTCATCAGCATCATCATCATCATCATCATCATCATCATCATCACCATCATCATCATCATCATCATCATCATCATCGTCGATGCTTGCGCCATTCTGCCAACCCCCAAAAGGAGGGTGGAACGCATGGCAGTCGTCTGGAATCATTTGTCTTTGTCTTTCACTTCGTGTGCGTTTGTTTGTGTTGTTTTCTGTATGTTTGCTGTTTCTTTTTCTTTCTTTCTTTTTTCTGTCTCTCTCTCTCTCGATGTACTCCGCTCTAGGCTGTAAGTTCCAAGATGCGTTTCGAGAGGTGCCTTTGATGGGGCCTCTTGGAGCGGTCTTAGGGGCATCTGGGTGGCTTTGGGGGGCCTCTTTGCGGGGGAGGAGGAGCATAATGTGTATGATCTTGCGCAGCTGTATCCGAGAGCTCGGAGCCATTTTGTTCGTCGTCGTTCGTTCGTTCGCTCGTCGATGGTCATGATGGCCCCAGGAGAACACCAGGACGGCTCCAAGAACCCCTCCCACTCCTCATCCCGCCTGGCCTTGCCCTCGCCCTCCCTTGTGCAAGATCCCAAGCATGCGTGCCATTTGTTTGGACGTGGGTTCGCGCCAAGCCATACCCTGACTCAGGATCCGGCGTGTGATCTTCCGAATTCATTTTTTTCGAATACGCACCCCAAACGATGTCGCCTCGCAAAAGAATGGCTGATACATGCGCGAAAGTATGGTGGAAACAGCCTCGGCGAAGTAGGGCGGAAATCGGCATCAAAGGAGCTTGAAAAGTAGGGCGGACATTTCTACCGTACTTGCGGAATTGCCCAAGAGTCGTACAGCGGATCCGGAGTCAGGGAAGGGGGGACTTTGATTCGGACGTGGGTCAGGGTCAAGCCCTGCCTCCCGGAAGAGATGCGACTGCCAGCAGGGTGCAGCACGAGCTGCCAGCTGGCAGCAGGCCAGCACACCAACCAAAAAAACATCCGGTGAGGCCTCCCGGAGGAGGAGCACGGCAGGGAGGGAGAGGCCGCGGCGCCGACGCCGCAAGCGCGGGCACGCGGAGTCGAGCCGCACCCAGCGACGCGGGAGCACCCCGGGTCCGGCACCGAGGCCCTGGCCAGGCATGAGCCCCGCCGATGCGGGTGCCACCCGTCCGCGGAGGGGCGGGAGGAGGAGGAGGAGGAGCGGAGCAGGAGGAGGGCGAGGAAAAGGAGGAGGGCCAGCGTGAACCCGAGAGCCATCAACGGTGTTGCAATACACCCTCCCTCCAGGCCCCCTCTTCATAGACCCCTACAACGGTTCATTTCCATCGAGGGATCTGCCTCGTTGGAAGACAGCCGTTTGAAGACCCGGAAGCATGCCAAAACATGGTTCTCGGCATTCCAACGCCACGGATCAATCTGATTTTTGCGTCTTGACGATCTTGGATCGTGTCAGAACGCCATTCTTGGGATCTCAACACCGCGAATCAATGTAACTGTTGGGTCCGCAAAATTCGGAATCTTTCCAAAACGTCATTTCTGGTACGTTGATCGCGGGAATCCGTGAAACTCTTGCGAATTTTACGAACGAGTGTGCGCGGCTCTAAGGCGGGAGCCACATTTTGAAAAGGAGCAGCCCTCAATCCTTGGAAATCTTGTAATTTTTTAGAACGAATGTGCGCGGCGCTAAGGCGAGAGCCACATTTGAGAACGGGTTATCCTGAATCCGTGAAGCTCTTGCACATGTTGAAAACGAATGTGCGCGGCGCTAAGGTGGGAGCCACATTTTGAAAACGGGTTATCCTCAATCCGTGAAGCTCTTGCAATTCTTTAGAACGAATGTGCGCAGCGCTATTGCGAAAGTCACATTTTGAAAACCACCCGCCCTCCATCTGCGAAACCGTTGCCAAATTTGCAGCTTCAGAGTCTTAAGTGGTGAGGAAACTCAGGCGAAACGCCCGGGCCGCCCTAAAAGATTGCCTCGGGGTGCGACAAGGATAAATTACTTATAAGGAAAAGGACCAATGGGGGATCGAAGAAGAAAAGACTGCATACACAGAAACTTTTGGCGCTTCGCGCGGGTTTCTTGGATCCGCGCTGGGCCCCCCTCCGGCGCCGCTCCTGGTGCGCTCCGCGCGCCGGGGAGGGGGGTCCACCGCGCATCCAAGAAACCCGCGCGGAGCGCCAAAAGTGTATGTTTGTGCCGTTCCTGCTTCTTCCAGAGGAGGAGCAGGAGCAGGAACCAGAGGAGGAGGAGGAGGAGGAGGAGGAGGAGGAGGAGAGGAGGAGGAGGAGGAAGAGGGGGGGGAGGAGGAGGAGGAGGACGAAGAGGAGGGAGGGGAGGAGGAGGAGGAGGAGGAGTACAAGGACGACACACACGAACACACGCACACTTGTTGGCGGTCGCGGCCTCGCGCGCGGCGGCGAGGCGGAGCAAGGCGAGCGGACGGCACGGAGCTCAGGCGCGCGGCCGAGCCCTTGGGCGCGGGGCCACTCGGGGTCGCCCGCGCATGTCCACCCCGGCAGGGTGGGGAGCGAGAAGATTCCTCCTCCTCCTCCTCCTCCTCCTCCTTCATCCGCCCCCCCCCGTCTCCTATCCCCCCCTCCTCCTCCTCTGCTCTGCATCCTCCTCCTCCTCCTCCTCCTCCGGCCCCCCTCCTCCTCCTCAATCACCTCCGGCTCGTTCGTCCGCAGAACAAATACACACACAGACACACACGCACGCACACGCACACTTGATCAACGGCGGCTCGGCAGAGTGACTGCGCTGGCGGAAGAGCGCAAGTAAAGCATAAGTACCCATGCGAATTTGGCCGCCGTGCACGGGGGAGAGAGGGACCACCCAGCGACGGCAGGAGGGAGAAGGAGCGCTCAGAGCGGGGCCAGGACACACACACACACAGACGCACACACACACAAACACACACACACACACGCACACACACACACACACACGCACGCGCACACACATGCACACACACGCACACACACGCACACACGCACACACGCACACACACACACGCACGCACACGCACACGCACACGCACACGCACGCGCACACGCACACGCACACGCACATGCACACGCACACGCACACGCACACGCACACGCACACGCACACGCACACGCACACGCACACGCTCACGCACACGCACACGCACACGCACACACGCACACGCACATGCACATGCACATGCACAAACACACACACACACACACACACACGACACACACATACACACACACGCGCACACGCACACGCACACGCACACGCACACGCACACGCACACGCACACCCACACGCACACGCACACGCACGCGCGCATATCATCCCATGCCACGGCTTGCGTCCAGCGTGGCGGCTTGCCAGTGGGTGTGACCCCCCCGACCCCCCCCCCCCCGCGTTGCGTGGTTAGGGGCTTTCGGCTCCCTCCCTGGAGGACTCAGAAGAGAGATGCCAGGAGACTTCTAGAGCCCTGCGGAGGCCCTGGATAAGGGCGTGCGAAGAATGCCCGTTCCATGCGTCGATGAGAAGGGTGTGGCCCAGAACGGCCCCAAAAGCCAGGAGCAAGAGAAGGGCAAGAAGGAGGAGAGGGAGGACCACGCAGATAAATATTCAGAAAACACACACAAACACCCAACACCAGCGACCTCTCGCAGCCGCGAGGCTACCAAGATCGGTGAGGAGCAAAGGGAGGAAGCAGAGGGCGAGGAAAAAGAGCAGCAGCAGCAACAGCAGTGGGACGACTAGGAGGAGAAAGAGCGCGAGCAGGTGGAGGAGGAAGAGGAGGGGGAGGAGGAGGAGGAGGAGGCGGTGGAGGTTGAAGGGGAGGAGGAGGAGGAGGAGGAGGAAGAGGTGGCGCGTCCGCAGGAGATGCAGCAGGACGCGACTGCAGCATCCTCGCACCCCACGACGATGCTCGACGTCGCGATCGGAGAGTGCGAGTTCCTCGCGTTCGTTGCCGCCCCCTCCTAGGTATCCTCCGTCTCTCCCCTCCCCCCACCTCCTCCACCTCCTCCTCCTCCTTCAAGGGTACTTTAACTCCTCGTCTTCCTCCTCCTCCTCCTCCTCCTCCTCCTCGTTCTCGTCCTCCTCCTCCTCCTTTTCCTCCTCCTCCTCTTCCTCCTCCTCCTCCTCCTTCCTCTCCTCCTCCTCCTCGCCCCTCCTCCCCCTCCTCCCCCTCGCATGTCGCCCACTACGCTTCGGCGCGACACGCGATCCGAGCTTCCTCAAAGCCTCGCGACGCGCGGGGCGGATCAACCCGCCCTCCGCTCGCGAGGCACAGCGTGTCGCTGGGACCGCCGCCGCGACACGCGAAGCCGAGCTTCCTGACCGCAGGGTCGGCCACCGCCCTGTCGGAGGCTTCTCGGGCCCTCATGACCTCAAAGCTTGGCCCCATTCCCGGCGATTGGGTCTCCTCCCCCTCCTCCTCCTGGGCTCTCCTCTTCCTAACACTTCCTCCTCCTCCTCCCCCTCCTCCTCCTCCTCCTCCTCCTCCTCCCCCTCCTCCGTACTTTTTTCCTCCTCCTCCTCCTCCTCCTCCTCCTCCTCCTCCTCCTCCTCCTCCTCCCCCCCCTGCTCCTCCTCTTGGCAAATTCGATATAGTGCGCGCGGGAAGAATGGGTACGCACCCAGCTCGCGATGTGAAAAAGTCATGACGGGAGGTTTATCGCTATTTTCGGCCTGCGGGGGCCCTTCCCGGGCCTCGGGACTGTCAAACAAATAGCCTGGCGAAGAACCCAACCATATGCAGTTGTCAGTACCGCAGCTGCGGGTTTCATCTTCAGTGGAACTCCCCATAGGACCACGGCACGTGTGAGGGGTGTGCCGAGATGGGTGCCACTGGGGCATTCGGTGAAGCTCCCTATGGGGACATGAAACACGCGCGGGGCGTGCCGACATGGGTGGCGGAAACGCATGTGAGGGCCGCCACTGGGGCCTCCAGTGGAGCTCCCTATGGGTCCCCGAAACATGATGCTGCTGCGGGGGGGGTGCCGGGATGGGTGGCGGAGACGCATGTAAGCGCCGCTACTGGGGCCTTCGGTGGAGCTCCCTATGGGGCCACGAAGCGCGTGAGGGGTGTACTGGGATGTGTGGCGGGGACGCATGTGAGCGCCGCCACTGGGGCCTTCGGTGCAGCTCCCTATGGGGCCACGAAACGTGTGAGGGGTGTGCCGAATTGGGTGCGGGTGGTGACGCATGCGGGCGGTGCCACTGGGGCCTTCGGTGGAGCTCCCTATGGGGCCACGAAACCTGCTGTTGTGAGGGGCGTGCCGGGATGGGTGGCGGGGACGCATGTGAGCGCGGCCGCTGGGGCCTTCGGTGGAGCTCCCTATGGGGCCACGAAACGTGTGAGGGGTGTGCCGAATTGGGTGGGTGTGGGTGACGCATGTGAGCGCCGCCACTGGGGCCTCCGGTGGATGATGGGGCCACGAAACTTGTGATGGATGTGCCGAAATGGGTGTGCGGGACGCATGCGCATGTGAGCGCCGCCACTGGGGCCTTCGGTGGAGCTCCCGATGGGGCCACGAAACGTGTGAGGGGTGTGCCGAAGTGGGTGTGCGGGACGCATGCGGGCGGCAGCACTGGGGCCTTCGGTGGAGCTCCCTATGGGGCCACGAAGCGTGTGAGAGGTGTGCCGACATGGGTGTTCGGGACGCATGCGGGCGGCAGCACTGGGGCCTTCGGCGGAGCTCCCTATTGGGCCACGAAACGTGTGAGGGGTGTGCCGAAATGGAGGAGGGAGGAGGGAGGGGGCAGCGGGAAGGAAGGAAGGAAGGAAGGAACGCGGGGCGACGTCTCTTCAAAACAAGGACCCAACGCCACAGGATGGTTGGGAATAACTCAAGATGAAAAGCCGGTCCCGGGAAAAGGGTCCAGACCTTTGGAGGTCGACGTTGTGAACACAAAAGAACACGGCGTCGGGGGTCTGGGAAGACCGGCAGCAGTTCTTGCTCAAGTCGAACGGGGCTCGCTTCGGGGAACGAGCAATGACATAGGAGGCCCGTGCGGACCTTCGAGTTGTTATGTTTATGTCGTTGTTCGTTCCCCTACAGCGGAGGCCAGTCCACGAGAAACCTTCCACGAGAAACCCAGCCCTGAGACCCCATGGCGTCCATTGCTTTCTGGCGTGGGCACGTCACGCTTTCCACAGCACAGCCATCGAAAGCCAAGAAACCCAGGGCATCCTGGAAGCAAGCAGGGTGTTGAGGGGGGAGGAGGAGGAGTCGGAGGAGGAGGAGGAGGAGGAGGTGGAGGAGGAGGTGGAGGTGGAGGAGGAGGTGGAGGAGAGGAAGAGGAGAGGAGGCGAAGAGGAGGAGGAGGAGGAGGAGGAGGAGGAGGGGAGTTAGGAGGAGGAGAGGAGGAGGAGGAGGAGGAGGAGTCGCTGTCGGCGTCGCTGCGGGCGTTGACGCTGTCCATTTGAGACAGGAGGCCGCCTGGCCCACGGCGGCCGCCGTCGGTTTTGCAACGGCACCTGCTGCTGGCCATCGTCGTGCCCATGTTTTCGGTACCCCTCTCGGGCGTGCAGCCAGCAGGAGCATTCCTCGTCGCGAATGTGGTGCAGCGTCGTTCGGGTGCGCCGTGGCGTGCGGTCCGGCGAATCATCTGCCCCGTGCTCGGGAGGAAGAGTGTGCGGTGCAAGCCATCGTGTCTCCTCTCCTTCTTTGCTAGGCCATCGCGGATAGGCAGAGCAACCCGCGCCGTTTCGAGCAGCAATGCGGAGCCCAATGGTGTGCAGCTCAGCTGCGTGGTGGACAAAAAGAACTGTTCGTCGCGAGTGTGTTTCAGGAGGGAAAGAAGCACACAGACACAATGAATCGTCGATTCCCCAGAAAGTATGGGAAAATATGGGAAGAACCCAGAAAATATAAGCACAGATGGGGCATCTTTTCATTTGTGTGTATTTCTTTGTGTGTCCCAGGGCCCCTTCAGTGTTGCACAGCGCGAGGAGGTGGGGGCCTCGCTCGGTTCTTACCCCGCCCTGGCTGCCCCCGAGGTTCGCCACCGCCTTCGCCTACTTCGTCACCGTGGAGCTCCAGAGCACCGGGGAGAGGCGGAGCACGGACACGGCGAGGTACTCGCAGCGCCCCGTCTTCAGCCAGCCGACGTTCCTCCTCAGCCTGCCCGACTCCCCCGAGCAGGTGCCTCAAGGAGGAGGAGGAGGAGGAGGAGGAGGAGGAGGAGGAGGAGGAGGAGGAGGGGGAGGAGGAAGAGGAGGAGGGGGAGGAGGATAGGGGGGGGGTGCAGGAGCCATGAGAAGGTAACGCAAGCGCCCCAAGGAAGTGGGCACAGAGTGGCGCTACCGCCGCCTCTGCCCGAGCCGCACTCAACAAGAGGTAGCTGACGGCTGAGGCGGAAGCGCAGGCCAGGGACGGCCCGCCGCTGCGGGAGGCCACCTCTCTTGGAGCCACCCTGACCGCTCGCCCCGCCAGGCGGCGAGGACTAGGAGGAGGATGAGGAGGTTGAGGGGGAGGGGGTGGGGGAGGAGGAGTAGGAGGAGGAGGAGGAGGCCGATGAGGAGCAGATCCACACAGAGCAGGAGTACAGGAGGAGGAGGAGAAGGAGGAGGAGGAGGAGGAAGCACGTTTGGGATGATGATGATGATGATGAGGAGGAGGAGGAGGATGCCGCGGAGGAGCATATTCACTCAGGGCAGGAGTGCAGGAGGAGGAGACGCCTAAGTGAGGAGGTGGAGGAGGGTGCCGAGGAGGAGCATCGTCATACGTATAGTGGTTTTGGTAAGTGATCATGATGCTGATGATGGTGACTGTGACTTGGATGGGGGCGACGATATGGATGTTGGTAATGATGAGGAAGCGGCTGGTGTTTTCGATTGAGAACTGTTAAAGCAGAGGAGGAGGTGGCGAATATTGAGAAACAGTGTGGGAAATGGCATGATGGTATTATAGAGGAGGGGGAGTAGGAGAAGGAGGAGGAGGATTATATTAGCAGGAGCATAGCGAGGTGGAGGGGGCGGAGGGAGAGAATGAGAATAACAAGGAAGAGGAGAGCGACGAAGGTGATGATGAATGTAATGATGATGATGATGATGTTGTTGCTGCTGATGATGATTCTTATGTTGCTGCTGATGATGATGCTGATGATGATGATGACGATGTGGCGGAGGAGGACGAGGGGGAGGAGGGGAAGGGTGGTGGTGGTATCTTTGTGTAGGTGGCTTGAGTGTGTTTCTTGGTTTCTTTCTCCCTTTTCTCTCTCACTCCTTCCATCCCCATCATCAACATCACCAACAACATGATCATCCCCTTCCTCCCCCTCATCGTCGTCATCATCATCCCTTTTCATCATCACCCCAATCATACTCATACGTACGATCAAAAACAATGGGACATCCATACCATCAAAACTAAGAACACCACACTCAAAAGCATGATGACATCCATACATCCAAAAACAATCAGACACCCAGACAACATACAATCAAAAACAAACAGAAATCCGTGCAATCAAAAACGCTGAGAACTCCATAGCATCCAAAACAGACAGAACTCTTCACAAGCAAAAGCAATAAGACATCCATACATATAACAACCATCAGAACAACATACATTCGGAAACAATAAAAAAGCACGTCTTGGGTCCACGAACCCTGTGAGTGTTCCCAACCAACAGAAAAGTAATAAGACCTGTGAGGGTTCCCAAGTAGCTAAACACCAGCGGCTGTCATTTCAATATTTCAGGATGCCTGGGCGGATCTGGCCCGGAGGTGACCGCAGGAAGTCCGAAGTCCCGAAAACCATGTTTGGTTTGGGAACCTTCATAGGTTTGATCGTTTTGCTCATTGTCTTTTTTAAAGTTGTTTTAGAACCCTCACAGGGCTCGTAGCTCTAAGGCAAGGAAACTTGTGATTGACATTGAAAAACAGATACAATACAATCGACGGCTGTTTTTGACAACAAAAAACCCTTGTGGAGGTTCCTCCCCAAACAAAAGCAAAGAGTTTCGCGCGAAGGACCACTCCGCCTCCCTCCTCCTCAGGAGGGGCCTTGGTACCTCCTTCAGGACGGCATTGGACTGTACCCGCTGTGCGGAGACATTGGCACCGCAGGTTTTTCCGAGACTGCAGAGGACGGTGCGCGCTGCGCTGTTGGAGCTGCCGCGGGGTGGCGGCTGCCACTGCGGGATTCTTGCCCAGCGCCGCAGCGTCGACAAAGGGCGCGAGCTACAGAAGGATGAGCGGAGGCAGGAGGAATGCCTACGCGGTCCTGGGCAGAGCGCGGAGGAGATCGAGCTCCCGACGGAGGAGGCCCTGTTCCGCGTTGCCGTGTACCCGCGCATTGCGACGGAGATTGCCGTGCCACGCGGCGACAATGAGGCCGAGTTGAAGCACGCCTATTCGACGGCAGCCGGGTGCTCCACGGCCGCGACGTTTTTCAGGCTCGTTTGCAAGATCGGTGATTGCCAGGTGCAGAAGTGCAGTCCCGCCGCGAAGCAGCATATTCAGATGTCTCAGGGCGGCATGGTAGACGATGCGATGGCAGACGAACCAGTCGAGATCGTGCCGTACCTGCAGCAGAGCGGCTTCCTCGAAGAGGTGGAGCTTACGCTTGGTTGCGCGGTGGCCATTACGCAATCAGCGACGAGAGTGCAGTTTCCAGTTTGTGCCGGGTCGGCAAGTTCTGTTGCCAATCGCAGCCAAACGCATTTGGCGCGCGGCAGGCCGCTATTCGCGACGCAGCACGTGACCGTTGGTGGGTTCACGTGCAAGCAGAAGACGAAGGTGGACTTCCCGTGCGTTGCAGCGTTTGCCGCAGGGCGTCGGTATTGCGGCAGAAAATAAGCAACTTTGCGAGGTGGGTCTGCGCGAGCTGGGTCAGATTTCTGACCTGGCCCTGACTGTGGTGGTTGATGGGAGAACGCACGTGGTGGCGCTGTTCCGTGGAAGCTGCTTTTCAACTCCGTGCGCATGGTAGTGCCAACGCGGACTGGCACTATCGAGAGGCTTCTTGCGGCGTTGACCGCGCAGCAGATCGTCGGTTCTGACGAGGCTCAGCAGGCCCACGCGCGCCTTATGCTGTCAGGCATAAAAGGCCGCGGGAGCCAGGTTGAGCAATTGCGCAGGATCAAGGACCTGCTGAACGCTAGCGCTTCACCGATGATGAGACTACGGCAGCGGCCGCCGAGTTTGGCGGGCACCCATGGGTGGTTGCCCCGGGCAGCCTCGCACGGTGGTGAAGCGACGACGGTGACGTACCGGGCCCTGGCAGAGGCTCCTGAACATCGCAGCACCGCAGTGTTGGATGCTGCGAATTCGACGAGCGCGGTGCACCTCAATGAAGGTCGCCCGATCGCGCGCATCACGATCGACCAGGCGACAGCCCAGGTGGACGCAGCGAGGGCCGTCGTTCTGGAGCTTGGTGCGTATGCAACGCCAGCCAGCTGACTGAGGCGGCTGTTCCGTCCGGCGGGACGCTGTTTTCGTCACTGCAGTCGGACTTCGCTGCGCGCGCGTGCCATGTGGGCTGACTCGTAGTGTGGCGCGGTTTAATGTGTTTGCCTTTTTTCGACTGTTTTGTGTATGTTGGGCAGTTCTATCGCCCGAGCGGCCGCGTTTTGAAACTTGAGGCCTCCGCGCATCAAATTTTGCACGTCTGACCTTTCTGGGGCTCCTTTTCCAAGTTGGCTTTCCCGTGGAAGTGCGGCGTCTCAGGCGGGAGGCGCGGGCTGCCCAGTATAGGTGCGCCGTCTCGTCCCCTGCCTTCTCTCGCATTCGTGATATCATTGCGTCGGTGGCCGATGACGACGACTGTATTACCATCGGCATAACGCATGGCTTCAGACTTCGATTTCCGTTGCACGACCATGCTAACATGAATACCGCCACAAAGGGCGGACCTCGGGGAGCCAGGCTGTCTCGGGCTGCCTCTGCTCGATTGGCCCAACTCCTGCGGAGGGCCCCTGCGTTGAGTTAGTTCGCGCTGTGATCGGGGAGGCTGCAGGGCGTGTCTAGGAGCTGGGGTGCCTGCCCACGCCCTGGAGGCCATTGCCTCTTGTTGTCTTCGAGCCTTGAGGGACCCCCCCCGGAAGGGATGCGGATTTTTCTTGCCCCTGGACGGGTTTTCTTCTCGTCCGCTCTCTTGTCCGCTCTTGTTTTCTCTTTTTGCCAGTGGCGCTCCTCCTCCTCCTCCACCTCCTGCACGTCCTGCGGCTGCTCCTCCTCCCCCTTCTCCTCCTCCTGTCTCTTTCACTCTCTCTCTCTCTCTGTCTCTCTGTCTCTCGTTGATTGTTTTGATATCTTAATGTTTTTATTGTATGGATTCATTATTGTTGTGGTTGCGCGGATCAGAAGGGAGATGCTGATGATGATGATGATGATGATGATGAGGATGAGGAGGAGGAGGAGGAGGAGGAGGAGGAGAAGGAGGAGGAAGAGGGGGAGGAGTGGACGAGGACGAGAATCAACGTATGGTGATGATGACGGCGGTGATGGTGATGACGACGATCTTGATGAAGAGGAGGAGGATGGGAAGGAGGATGAAGCGGACGAGGCGGATGGATGATGATGACGACGAGGATGTTGAGGGATGAAGGTGTTGACGATGATGACGAGGAGGATGGGGAGGAGGGGTGATGATGACGATGATGCTGATGATGGTGGGGAGGAGGATGAGGAGAAGAAATTTAAAGAGGATGGATGGTGATGATGATGATGATGATGATGATGATGATGATGATGATGATGATGGTGGTGGCGATGATGAGGAGGGTAACAGACGACTGGACCGGTAGGAAAGTCAGCCCTCTTCCATCCCTTTCTCCTCCTCCTCCTCCTCCTGCCCCCGTTCTGCCTCGTCGTCGTCCTCCTCACTCTCATCATCGTCATCCCACCTCCTCTTCCTCCTCGTAACAGGCCCTCCTCTTCATCATCACCACCACCATCATCATCATCACTCATCCATCATCATCCTTCTCCTCGTCCTCGTCCTCTTCATCATCAGCATCATCATCAGCGTCATCAGCGTCATCGTGATCATCATCCTTCCTTCCCATCCTCCTTATCATCATCGTCAGCACCATCATCTCTCAGCATCCTCGTCCTCATCATCAGCCATCCGCCTCGTCCGCCTCATTCTCTTCCTCCTCCTCCTCATCATCATCATCGTCGTCATCATCATCATCA